ATGTATGTATGTTTGTATGTATGAATACTCATACAAGTGTTCGGTACAGGTACGACGGCGACGCCATCATAGTGCATGATTCATTTTTTGCTCCATAGCTTGGTACTTATGTCTCTGGCTGCCGTATGCTGCCGCCTTTGAAAGCATGCTATCCTGGGGATATGGATGGATTAGCAAGTGGCTGCCGCGCTCAGGAGACTATGAAGCCCGGCCAGGCTACCACCACCATCCGGACCGCTCGTCCATGGGAACGATGCAGCACTTGCCCCTCATGTTCGACTCCTTGCTCCTGATGAACTTTTGACCTTCCTTCTTTTTTTCGCCATGTTCGCCTTCGCACCTGTAAGGGTTCGACCCTTCTGCGCATTCCAGCGACTTATGTGTGCAGCACTTCCCACCGTCGACATCACCGATGTACTTGAAGCTGTCATCGGGAAAGTAATGGAAGCCTTCGCAATCGAACGAACTCAACCCTGTCTCACAAGTCAGCCGTACTTGTGAGTCGGTAATGAGGCAGCACCTGCCCCTCATGTGCGACTCCTTGCTCCTGTAGAACTTCCAACCTTTCTTCTTCTCTTCGCCGTGTTCGCCTTCGCACGTGTAAGGGTTCGACCCGCTTTCGCAGGTCACAAATTTCTGGGTGCAGCACCTTCCATCAGGGATGTACTTGAAGCTGTCCTCGGGATAGGAATGGTAGCCTTCGCACTCGAACTCATCCCACGCGTACACGCAAGACAGTGATGCCTCTGTGTCGCCACTGGCATCATGTTGAGTTGACTTGTTGCTGGACGCCTCGTTGCGCGGTTTCAAGTGCATCTCGTGTCTGTAGCCAGAGGCGCACTGAAGGCCGAAGATCACAACAAGAGCACGCGACAGGATCATCACACTCGACTGGATGTTGGCAAACTACCTTGGACTTCTGAGAAAGCGGTATAAGGCTCTTTGAGCTGCAAGGTTTCGTCGTCCTGAGAATAATTTGGGACTATCCCGTTGATGTGTGTCCGGCTCAAGAATCCGGACTCAACAGGTCATTGTTCGGCCTACAGAGGTCTTGATCGGAGTAGGGCGATTGTGCTTTAGGGTTTAGGATTCTGGGGCCGTGGAGCCTTCAGCATAACTTAAAATCTAAACTCCAAAACACGCCTCGCCAGCGTATGCTTGATTTTGCAGGGCCTACCTGGGCCCTTAACTGTACTTCTTGTTGCGGTTTATTTGCCACTTCCTTGTTAGGCTGGTGTTAAGACAACGCCTCTACCACCCAACAGAGAACTATTTGAGGATCGAAGTAAACTCTAGATGCAAGGTGGGTTGCTTCACTGTGATCACCGGCATTCCAAATTCGGTGTCTCTTGGCCTCTGTTGCACTACCCAGCTAGAAGTACACATGAACCTTTCAGCAGCAGTGTTCAAGGTTCAGGGCTTCCATTGCACAGCTGCAGGCCGCAGATGAAGTACCCATTCATGACATCTCTACAGCAGTATCAACATTCCTTTTCAAGCAAGCGCGGCGCATGAGACCGAAATCAGGAAAAGATCAAACTCCACACCCGCCACCTCAAGCCCGTAACTCAAAATGCTACCAGTAGAAGCCACATAGTCGCGTTTTGGAATCCCTGAAACCGAAAGAAAATCAGAGTCCGGCGCGCCGGCTTGATATGCATCGCAACACAGGGTGTGACTTCGCACCCGTCGAAGTGGTGAAACGTTCTGTGTAGGATACCCATGTCTCGACGCTTATCTGCAGATCCATAAATCAAATCTATACGCCGTCTTATATAAGCTTTCAACTTAACATCCTGCCCACCAAAACCCTGCCGTAGGTCCAACACCCCAGGCCTAGCATCCGAAACCGAATGCCTAAACATACACCAAACAGGGTTTCGACTCTTACGCTCGTAGGCCTACTTTAGCAAATGCCTGGAATGTCCAACCGCTCTCCTAGTAGGCCTACTACATCTTGAACTGGGGGTCACTCCGCCCGCCGGCCCGTACGCAGCTCTTCGAGTGCTTTGAGTCGATCGTCGTCGTTGTAAATTCGGATTTGCATCATCCGGTCGTACTCGGGGATCTTCCTGAGACACAGGGGCTGCGAGACCGAAACCCTGGCGCGTTTTCCCCTGCTTCCGAACAAAGGAGCGATCATGGTGAATTAGGGCTCCCCGGCTTTTTAGGAGGGCTGGAGATTTTTAAGGTACGGATGCTTTTAATCTGGTCGTTTATGCTACCTCTCTGACCGCTGGGTCTCGGCCAGGCTAACGTCACCGCAGACTAGAAGCCCAGAGAGCACTTAAAGACGAACTCTGAAAGGTAATATCCCTACAGTCTACAGCTGGGTGCTATAGGCCTTCTTGTTCAGAGATCCTCCCTGCGGGGACGCCGGAGTTTCTAAGCCTCAGGAACTCTACCATTCACCCTACACAGGCCCTACAACCTAAGCACAGACCCCAGTCCAGGTTTTGGGGGAGCTTATTACTATAACTCTAAACCCTTTTACACCTGGACTACGCATATGCCAGGAACCCTAAACCCTAAACCCTAAACCCTTTTTGCAGCAGGCTTCTCTCGCCCGGAACTGCCGTCGCCGTGAAGCAGTGCAGCACTCATGACTGCACAACCCCGCACAACATGTACTCATGACAAGCCATGCCCTGAACCCTGAACCCTAAACCCTAAACCCTGAACCCTAAACCCTGAACTCCCTATTAGGGAAGTAACAGTTTGACTCACTACTCAGACTCTTCTGATGACGAGCTTCCCGCGAATCTCTTCCGCGCGGAAGCTGCTCATGGCCTTGATTCTTGGGCTTCAAAGAATGTAGGGTTTTGGGGGGTGTACATCATATGTGCATATATATATATATATACATATATATATATATATATATACTTTGGTTTATGCACTTGGAGGTATGTCTGTACATAGCTACATATATATATATATTTTATTATTTCTTTCTTTCTTCATTTATCTTTCTATTTATATATGTATACGAGCTTTCACTGTCAGCGCTTGTTCCGTCACCGCGGCGCGAAAGTGCCAGGCCATTCGGCTTGGGCGGTCCTCCTTGCGGCCCAGTCACCAAGCCCATGGTGTCGTACATCAGCATGATGCAGACCATGAACCTAGGTACAATCAACCTCACCCACCCAAATCCTGAACTTGTACCGCATGCTGGTCTCTCAGTCGTCAGGCAGATAGGGCAAGTACGAGGAGTCAAGCAAGCCCCAAGGTCGAGTGTGCACCGTGGGCAACGCCCAGTGCCATAGCACAGGATCTATTTACGAGCCGACACCATGACCTCAGCGCCCTGAATCCTGAAAAGCAGTGGCACCAGACTGGCCCGACCATTCGACGTTCAATTTGGAAGACTGCCGCTGCACTGCGATCACAAATGACTGACTAACTAACGACGAACAAACAAACAAATTAAAAACTACCTACCTGCCTGCCTGTCTAACTAAATACCTGCCTGCCTGCCTACCTACCTACCTACCTACCTACCTACCTACCTACCTATCGAACTAACGACTAAGCAACCAACGAAAGACCTAAACGAAAGAAATTAGGAAGCAAGCAAATGAGCACACATCTCCATATAAATCAATTTACGCATCTACGGTGGATACTCCAAAACACAAGTACGTACATACATACATACATACATACATACATACCTACATACCTACATACCTACATACCTACATAACTACATGCCTACATACCTGCATACCTACATGCCTACATACCTACATGCCTACATGCCTACATTCCTACATACCTACATACCTACATACCTACATACCTACCTACCTACATACATACATACATACATACATACATACAGACAGACATATATACATACATACCTTGCATTACCTTACCTTACCTGCCCTGACTGAATGAATACATACATACATACATACATTTTTAGCACTCGCACTCGACAAGCAGGCGAGGGTTTGGGAGTTCAGGGTAGCTTCAAAAGTTCCGGGCACATTAACCCTGCAAATGAGCGAGCGAGCACGCGTGAAGGGTGAAACACGCGAGATCTTTCCACATCGACGAGCAGAGTAGAACACCACAGGCACTAGGGTCCATCACCCCATGACTTCATGACCCAACACAAGTGCCAACGTATACATACATGCATACATACATACATACATGCGTGCATGCATGCATGCATATGCATCTATATATACATCTACATGCATGCAATTACACGAGTACTTCTTCTAGCCACGTAGGCCGAGGAGCCCTGGTCGCACGGGACACTGTCGGCCCTCTTTCTCCTTCAGGGTTTAGGGTTTAGGGTTCACTCTTCGAGAGTTGGACGGTGTAACATCGGAACCTGATTAAGCGACCCTGGGTCTTTGTGAGGGTTCTTGGAATATGAAACCCCATATTTTGGGTGTTGTAGGACCTGGGTTCTTATAATCAAGTTCCTAGTTTGCTCTAAACCCGAAACCCAAAGGGTTCCTCTGTTTGAGCCCTGGCTCTTGGGCCTCTTCGGCTCTGGGCCTCGGAGTTCTTGGTTTAGGGTTTAAGGTCAGGGGTTTAGGGTTTGGGGGTTTAGGGCTTAGGGCTTAAGGCTTCGGCACTCACGAGGGTTTCGACTCACACACTCGCACGAAGCTGGCATGTCACGAGGGTTTAGGGTGTAGGGGGGCGTTGCGCGATCAGGATTCACGATGCCTGGCTTCGGGGTTGGGCGTTTCATCTAAAGCTTCCATCATCTAAGGCTTCCTTAAAGAGGTCCCTTGGGGTTCGTGTGAGGGGTTTAGGGTTCTAAAGCCTGCGGAGTTGAGTCGGTCGGTCTCAAAAAGGGGATCGACTTGAGATTATGGCTTACAAGGCCCCAAGCCAATTCGAGGTGTAAGGACACGGGATTTCATGGGTTTGGGCTTGGCATGTTTTTCGGGCTTTCCAACTTTTTAGGGCTCTTCAAACTCGGGGGAAAGAACTGCACGCTTGAAAGAGCAACCAAGGATCCGGGATTGGGTCTTAGGATGTACAGGGACTTTATGGCGGAATTGAGATGTAGCGCTCCATGTCAAGTGCCCTTTTGATAGTATGCTGTGGGATGCTGTGTGCAACTGGGCTGCAGGCGGTGCTGGACCCCTAGGCCTTAGCCTTAGCTTGGAACACCCCAGACCTTGAGGCTTAAGGGTCTGGGGCTTAGGGCTCAGAGCCCCTTTTTTTTCCACAGGCTTGACGAGTTCGCGCCTGGAAGCATCATACCTCAGAACCTCAGTCCTGCACACTAACTTAAGCCCTACACCGAACTGTAAAGCCCTTCTTCAGCACGGAACCCCTAAACCTTAAGCCCGAAACGCCAAGAACCCTCAAGCGGGGGCGGTTCGACGATTTGAAAGGCGAGTGTCGTCATCGCGGAACAGCCGCTCCCGCACCAGCTCGTTCTCCTCGGTCAGGCTTGGGGTTCTCCATAAGGTAATGTAGGGGCCTGAATGATTAGAGTAAGGTTTCGGGTTTCGGTGCTCACACTCGGACACTCTAAGCGAGGCATGTGGCTCGAGGTCTGTATGCATGAAACTAAAGCAAAGTGATTGGGGAAGGAAGCCACATACACACCAGGACCACTAGCAATACAACCTGCTAAGTCGTATAGGCCTCTGCTCTGCTGAGATCCAACCATGGGAATTAGGGTTTAGAGTTTTGAAATTGGGGTATTTTGCACTCGAGGATGGAATGACATTGGTGGTTATTCCGGCATCTGTGGTCATATGGGGAGCCTTCAGGACTCGAGGATCAGGGTATAGACTCTTGATGATGACCATAGGTTTTCGGTGAACACTAGATAGAGTTCTGTACACTTACTAGAAGGTGCTGTTGTATTGCTCATTCAGACCTGGACATTAATTCTCTAAATCAGGGTTTGAGGCGCCCAACAGAGTGCGACACTCTTGCAATGACGCCGCTAAAGGTCCCGAACACAGAATCACCCAATAGCCAAGACTTCTTTTTGGGGAGCAGGTGCCCCGACAACCCCTCGGGATGCCCAAGTCTCCATTCCGCCATACATGAATAGCGAGAGGGGAAAGGTGTCCTTGTACCTGGGCACTTCTGGTCGAGAGGACTTAAGTGACCTGTAGTTTCGTTGCTGGGTTCGTAAGCCTGAACAGGTGTACACGTTCAATAAGGGATAATATTTTCTAAAAAAGTGTATAGTGGACTCATTGAGCTACCAAGGTAGGTTCGCTATGCAAGCACACTTCTACAGTCTTGCTTTGCAGATTCAGATTCAGGACGGGTGTGCACCTGGCCACTCCTTCCAAGCCAGGCATCTCCCAAGAAACCCCTAATATAGGGGCCTTACTTAATAGAAGAAGGTTTTGGGATATATTATACCATAATTAGCATGAGGCAGCCCTAAAATAGTATTGGTAATTCTTTAGGCCCCTATGTTACCGTTTTTGCTCCAAACCCTACGATCCCGTCAAACAAAGACTGAGCCATGCTGGGGCATCGAAAACCGCTCAGAGCGCGAACCTGGATTTCAGTTAGATCTGAACAGTTGGCGTTACAAGTTCGGACCTCGCAGGTACGGCGCATGGTCTCTACTTGGAGGATCATGGGACTTAGTGAGTAAGGTTATAATTTCCGTAATTGGGGTTATAAGTAAATATTTTCTGTCGAGCACAGGAGGGCTCC